CTGTGTTTTGTTGTTATGGCCTTTTGACCCCTCGTGGTTCCCTTATTTTCTGCTCTGTGTTTTGTTATAAATAAACCCCTGTCATCTTGGAGCCGCACTGTGGATCGTCATCCTTTCCTCGCCTGCACCATCCCCCGATCCCATAACAACTAGCTAAATAGTAACAGGCACTGTTCCATTAAACATGTTCATACTGAAGCCTCAGTCTGAACAGAGCTAATGAGCTGAGGACTGACATTTAAAATGCACTTTTCAATCGACCTTCTAATTCCAGCTCACAAGAAGTCAGTCTTTACAGTAATCCTCATCCTTTTACCTCAGATGTGATTTATACATAAGACAGACAAAACTTCTATTTAAAATTTCAAAGACAATGGCATTTGCAAAAGTAAAAATATTGAAAGTTGAAGTTTTTTTTCTTGTAGCTTGTGTTTGCCTGTATGTCTTTTGACTGATAGTCTTGGTGTTTTAAACAATATTCAAATGTATATATACCTTTGATCTGTAGGAAAACGTCCCTCTCTGAAGCTGATCGGTTCCATCATTGACCTGTCACTCTTCATGGAAACACAGCTGGGTACAGGTGAGCCTGCTCTCTCCATCAGGACACTGTGAACAGTGAGAGGAAAGATCATCATTACATAAGTATAATTCATATAATGTGGACAGGGTCACATTAAATCTTCAGCTGTTTAACCTTCTCTGTTTTCATGTACTTTGATATACTGTGAAGCTCTTGTGCTTGTTCACAGTTAATTTTAATGTAAAATAAAGTATCTTGCCTAAAATGAAGATCCCTATATGAAAGGTTTAGTATCATTGTTACAGCCTCCGTTACTAGACTTGCCTGCTGCTGCTTGATATTATATAAATTTAGCCTTAAATGAGGTTCCCCACAATAAATTTCACCAAGTTACCAATAAAAAGTTTTGCCGACCGGATACTGGACTGAATACCGATAACACGTTCTGAAAAACTTTATTTTAGCATATTCAGAAAATCATCTCGCGGCCCAAAGATGTTGTGAAAAACTGAATCAGCGCTAGGTGGCAGGGAGTACAATCAAATTTAAATTCTTGGAGGAAATTAAATTTAATATATTTAATGAAACAAACATAAATCATCTGCCCCACGGTCCTGAATCAAAGTCTGGAGGAAGTGAATTACGTTAAGACTGATTACTCTCTCTTTCAATAAAACTGGAACGTTTATTTTTCATGACCGTGTGTAAAGCCGTACAAACACACAGGTTCTGTCTTCTAACACCTGCTCTAACTACACAGGTAGCACACCCGATGACTATATGCATACGATGTGGAAATGTACGCCAGTTCAGAGGTTTTGGAAGAGGGTATGCAAAGACTTATCAACATGTTTAGGGAATAATATTTCAGCTTCCCCGAAACTATACATTAGGTGACTTAAGTGATATTGATATGAGAGGGATTTAGCACATATGGTTCTCACTGCCCTGGCCCACTGGTGGCTCTGAGAGGCTGGGGGTCTGTGGTTGCCGGTGCGGGGTGGCTGTGTGTCGGCCCTGACCTGGTAGGGCTAGGGGCACGTGGTGGGCTACCTGGTGGGTGTGGGTGGGGCTGCTGGTGGCCCTTGGCGGGGGTGCCGGCCAGGTGGCTGGGGCCTTGCGGGTGCGGGTTGGGGTGTTGGGTTCGCGCATGGAGGCCTGGGGGTGGCTCGCTCCCTGGGCAGGGGTCTCGTTTTAGCTGAGGGGGCCTGCGTCTCGCCGGGTGCACCCGTCCTGGGAGGGTGGGTCGGCACCAGCTTGCCCCTCGGGGCTCCAGGGGTAGGGGGGTATCGGGGAGGTTGGATAGCCTCTCTTTGTGGGATTGGCTAGAGCACTGGTGCGTAATGGGTGGGGTACCTCAGTCTCAGGCCAGTGTGTCTGGTGAGAGTGGATGTTTGTATGTGTGTGTGGCGTGTTGGCGGAGCTGCGCTCGGATGGGGCTCCAGCTGCCCCCCTGGGCTGGGGTGGGTGGGCGCCGCCCTTGGGGAGCGACGGTACCCCTGGATGTTGCCTCCATGCGTCCCAGGCGCGTGGGACATGGTTCCCGCCACCCCACCATTGGGTGCGGAGTGCTTAATACAGCATATATGTGTATGTATATGTATATGTATATGTACATGTACAGTGGTACCTTGGTTTACGAGCATAATTCGTTCCGGAAACATGCTTGTAATCCAAAGCACTCGTATATCAAAGCGAATTTTCCCATTAGAAATAACGGAAACTCATATGATCCGTTCCACAACTCAAAAATATTCATATAAAAATTACTAATACAAAATATGAAGTAAAAATACATAAAACAAATT